TAAACTCATCAGGAACCTGAAGCTGTGAGGACCAGGGGGCTACTCCGTCTTGCCAAAGGAGAAAAAGACCCCCAAACTCTTAAGAAGAGAATGAACAGCCCAACTGTATCACACACCCTGTCCATTTCAAATGGAAACTGGTTCTGCCTGTCCAAAGTTCCAGCCAGCTGAGTCCCTGTGAAATGGTCCTCTCTCCCCGGGGAAGAGGTTGGTAGACTGCCAGTTAGTTGTACCCTCCTATCCCCGCCTACCATCTGGGGTGTCTGCAGTCTCCCGGCCTCTGGATTAGGGTTAGGTCTGGTGGGAACCCATCCCAAGCTTAGGCACTTAGAGAGAGAGAGAGATAGACAAGTAAGCACACGCGCACGCGCGCGCGCGCACACACACACACACACACACACATGTCATCTAATTGACTCTGCAATAACCCTGCTGCGTAGTTGTCCCCATTTCACAGAAGTGGATGCTGAGGCTTGAACTCACCTAGGGTCCTAGATGGCGCCCTGGTGCTGTAGTGCCTAAGGCATTTCACTGCTAACCAGAAGGCTGGCGATTCAAACCCACCAGCCACTCCTTGAAAAGAACATTAGGCAATCTACTTCTGTAGAGATACAGCCTGGGGCAGTGGTCCCAATGAGTCTAATCTACTCAAGGGCAGTGAGTTTGGTTTTTTTTTTTTTTTTTTGGTTAGGGTCCCAGAGTCGGGTGAGTGGAAGAGCTGGGATTCACACCTTGACTCGGCTGACCCTAAAGTCCAGAGTCGTGGCTTTCTGCCTTCTGATGGAATACAGCCTGGGGCAGTGGTCCCAATGAGTCTAATCTACTCAAGGGCGAGTGATTTTGGTTGTTTTTTTTTTTTTTGGTTAGGGTCCCAGAGTCGGGTGAGTGGAAGAGCTGGGATTCACACCTTGACTCGGCTGACCCTAAAGTCCAGAGTCGTGGCTTTCTGCCTTCTGATGGAAGCTGCTAGGAAAGAGGGGTGGGTAGGTTGCATCTGGAACACTCTATCCTATCTGGGATTCCTGTCTCTGGGTATGCTGGAGAACAAGCAGGTCCAGGTGAGCTGGACTGAGAGCAATAGGGACAGAGGTCCCTGACAGCTGCTTTGATTTATCCATTAGTTCAAAAAGCCAGCGCCTCCTTAGCCTGGGGGCACCCAATGCCTCAGCCCTTGGGACCTACCATGGGGAGTGGAGGAGCAGTTCACCAAGATTAAAATACAGTGAGCCACAAAGATGTAAGGCCAGAGAGAGGAGGAGAGGGGGAGAGAAAGAGACTGACTTCCTGGGATCAAGGAACAGCAGTGCAGTGGGACGGGAGCGGACAGGAGAGTGTGTACCACAGAGAAGGGGGCCGGATGGGTTCCTGGGCAGAGGAAGATCAGTGCCAAGGTTCAAAGGCTGAGAGCATGACATGTCCTAGGGAATGTGGTTTGGTAAGATAGTGGGGGATGCATGGGTGCAGGGTTAGGAGGCTGCCAGGTTGTGAAGGTTGTCATACATGCAGGCGTACCTCATTTTATTGAGCCTGGAAGACACTGTTTTCTACAAGTTGAAGGTTTGGGGTAACCCTATATTGGTGCCATTGTCCCAACACCACGTGCTCCCTTCGTGCTCTGTGTCCCGTTTGGTCATTCTCATGATAAATCACACTGTTACATCACACTATTGCACACTTACTAGACTATGGTAGACCTAAGGGAGCTCTGGTAACATAGTGCCTAAGGCACTTGACTGCTAACCAGAAGGCTGGCGGGTCAAACCCACCAGCCACTCCTCGGAAGGAAG